TGCCTTCGGCTCAGGTCATGATCCCAGGGTCCTGGGATCGAGCCCCGCATCGGGCTCCCTGCTCTGTGGGAAGCCTGCTTCTCCCTCTCCCACTGTCTCTGCTTGTGTTCCCTCTCTCCCTGTGTCTCTCTCTGTCAAATAAATAAATAAAATCTTTAAAAAAAATAAAATAAAAAAATAAAATATTACATATGCAGTTAACAATATGATTTGAAAGGGCTTTTATTTGGCATGTAGGATTATGAAAAATTATCTGAGTCATTAATTTTTATGTAAGTCATGGGGGTGATCCTTTTTTTTAAGAGAAGGAGGGGAGAAGGGCGAAGGGAGAGGGACAGAGAGAATCCCAAGCAGGTTCCACGCCCAGCATAGAGCCTGACCCGGGGCTTGATCTCACAACCCTGAGATTGTGACCTGAGTGGAAATCAAGAGTCAGATGCCCAACCGACTGAGCCACCGAGGTGCCCCAAAATGATCCTTTTTAATAGCATCTGTAAGGACCTTATTTTCAAATAAGTTCACATTCATAGGTACTGGAGATTAGGACTTGAACCCATCTTTTTGGGGGACACAGTTCAACCCACTACAAATCCTCATGTGTGGAAAAGATACAGGTTCCTCCCTGGCCTACCATCTGGCACCTGGGATTCCTCCAGCTATCCAAGAGGCTAGGTCAGATGAAATATGCTCTAGACATGAACCAGATCTCCACCTGGAAGACACTAAAGACGTGGACCCATATTCTGGGTTTCTCTTCCCTCTCTTTCTCCTCTTCCCCTACAAGTATTTGTTGAGTGCTTGCTATATGTCATTCATAATTCTAGGGCATTGGGGATTTAATTTTAAGTAAAACAAAGTTTCTACCTTTACCAAGCTAATATTCTAGTGGGAAGACAAATTATAAACAAATAAAATCTAATATGTCAGATGACAAGGGCTAGAGAAAAAAAACAAAGGGATGAAGAATGATGCTATTTCAGATAGGAAGATCACAAGAAGCCTCTCTGATGAGCAGAGACCTGAATGAGAGAAGGAGTCAGCTGTGCAGTGATCCCCGGCAGAGAGAACAAGTGCAAAGGTCTTGTGATTGTTATAAAAAATATGTCCATGACGGGCACCTGGGTGGCTGAGTCGGTTAAGCGTCTGCCTTCAGATCAGGTCATGGTCCCAGGGTCCTGCATCGGCGGGCTTCTTGCTCAGCCAGGAGTCTGCTTCTCCCTTTGCCTGCCAGTCCCTCTGCTTGTGCTTGCTCTCTCTCTCTCTGACAAATAAAATCTTCTAAAAAAAGAAAAAAAGTCCATGAATGCTTGATACTCTTCAAGAGGTGGAACTTATCCCCTGTGCCCTTGGGTGTGGGCTAAATTTGACATAAATAGAATATGGAAGAACTGATGGCATGTTACTTCTGCAATTAGGTTTTAAAGAGATTGCAGCTTCTATTCTGGGTGCCCATTTTCTCCCGTATCACTCTCCCTAGGGGAAGCCATCTGCCCGGAGAGCCGCTTTGTGTTCCATAGAGAGGCCTGTGTGGCAAGGAGCTGAGGAACTGGCCAGTGTCTGGCCAGCACCCAGGAAGGAATTAAGGTCCTCAGTCCAAAAATCCATGAGGACCTGGGGCCTGCCCACACGCCTGTGAGTGAGCTGAGAAGGGGATTCTCCCCTAGTTAAGCCTTCAGATAGGACTGCAGCCACAACCACAAGCTTCCCTCCTCCCAGACGGTGATCAGAACCACCCAGCTAACCCGCTCCCAGCTTCCTACCCTCAGAAACCACGAGAAATAATAAAGCTGTGTTATTTTAAGCTGCCGAGTGTATTTAATGAAGCAATGTATAATTATTTGGGCCCTGAGGCTGCAGCGTGCTTGCCAAGTTGGAGAGATAGCAAGGGGCCTAAGGTGGTGAAACAAAGTGAGTAGGAGTGTGGGCACAGTAGGTGATGAGGTCAGAGAGTAAACGGGAGACCAGCTCATGGAGAGTCCTGTGAGCAGCAGTAATGACTCGGCTGCTAATCCGAAGGCGGGGAGGATCCAGATCGCAGAGTTTTGAGTAGAGGAGTGACATGATAAAGGATTAAAGGAGGGACCGGATGGGACAGATGTTTGGGGAGTGTGGAATGTGGGAGACCAGTGGGGAGGCTGCTGTCCCAGGAGACTGCCTGCTAGCAAGGGTGTGGAGACGGTGGTGAGAGCTGACCGAGCTCCAGTAGGCTCTGATGTGGGAGCCAGTCACGGAGGAAAGAACGGCACATTTCTGAAGAGGCTGGCCTGAAAGCGAGAATTAGGATAGTTCCATGAAGCTTCAGGGGAAAAGATGAAGTGATAAAATTGGTTTCCAAAGCACCTGGCAGCTCTCTTCTCTGGCCTTTGGGCTTCTTGGAGAGTCTCCTGTCCTCATACGTTGCTTCATGTTCTTTTTCTTCTTCCCCTTTCTACCTATGAAAATCTCCTCCCAGGGAAGAATTTATGCAACTGGTTCCCAGTGAGGTATAAATAATTGATGAGATAAAAATCAATAGCATTTGTTTACACTAGCAATAAGCGACCAGAAAATATGTCATAGAAGAATCGGGTATCTTTCACACTAGCAACAAAAACTATAAGAGACTCTAGGAAATAAAGAATATACTTGAGCTCTATGAGGGAAAATTTTAAACTGTATTAAATGACATAAAAGGGGGCCCCTGGCTGGCTCAGACAGTGGAGCATGTGACTCTTAGTTTCAGGCTTGTGAGTTCAAGCCCCACATTGGGTGTTGAGATTACTTAAAAATAAAATCTTTTTTTTTTTTTTTTTAAAGGACATGAGGGGAGCCTGGGTGGCTCAATCGGTTAAGTGTCTGTCCCCAGGATCCTGGGATCGAGCCCCGCATCGGGCTCCCTGCTCAGTGGGGAGCCTGCTTCTCCCTTTCCCTCTCCCTCTGCCCCTGCTGCTCCCCCTGCTTGTGCTCTCTCTCTCTTCTCTCTCTGTCAAATAAATAAATAAAATCTTTTAAAAAAAGGATATGAAAGAGCTGAATAAATGGGGAGGTATTCCATGCTCATGAACTGAATAGCTTAATATCATGAAAATGAAGATTCTCTCCAAATTAATCTAAAGGCGGGGCGCCTGGGTGGCTCAGTCGTTAAGCGTCTGACTGCCTTCGGCTCGGGTCATGATCCCGGGGTCCCGGGATCGAGCCCCGCATCGGGCTCCCTGCTCAGCGGGAAGCCTGCTTCTCCCTCTACCACTCCCCCTGCTTGTGTTCCCGCTCTCACTATCTCTGTCTCGTCAAATAAATAAATAAAATCTTTAAAACAAAACAAAACAAAACAAACAAACCAAAAAAACAAATTAATCTATAGGCTTGCACATTGAGTCTCTTCCTCTTAGTCGGTTAAGCATCTGCCTTTGGATCAGGTCACGGTCCCAGGGTCCCAAGTTTGCAGCGACTTGGCTAAACACACCAAGAAGGTTGGAATCATGGGTAAATTCGGGTCCCATTATGGTGCCTCCTCAGGAAAATGGTGAAGAAGATTGAAATAAGCCAGCACTCTAAGAACACTTGCTCCTTCTGTGGCAAAACCAGGATGAAAAGACGAGCAGTGGGGATCTGGCATTGTGGGTCCTGCATGAAAACCGACGCCAGTGGCGCCTGGACCTACAACACCCCCTCTGCCATCACAGTAAATACAGCCATCAGAAGACTGAAGGAGTTGAAAGACCAGTAGAAGCTCCACCATTGGAAACATTCCTAGCCTATAATAAATGGATTAATTTATGTAACAATTACTTTGGCTTATTGTTAAATTTATTAATTAGATCTTCTAATTTGTGTTGTATTAATTTTGCTTTCTCAAAAGACTTGTAAATTAAAAATCTTTCTTTTTTTTTTAAATCCTTCTAATTAAAAAACAAAAAAAACAAACCCAAAAAACCAAATTAACCTATAAATTCAATCTTATCAAAATGGCAGGGGTTTTTTTTGTTTTTTTGTTTTTGAGAAACACTGAAAACTTACTCTAAAATTTATTTGGAAAAAAAAATCCATGATTTAGCTAAGTTTCCTTTGAAAGAGAAAGACATAGAGGTGATATTTAAGACATACTACTAAGCCACAATCATTCCATGAAACTGATTCAAGAACAGAAAAATGGATAATGGAACAGAATAATAGATGGTTCAGAGACAGAGCTGTGTTTAGAGTAGAACTTGGTCCCCACATGTAAATGTGGGAAAGGACGCAGCTTGATGGGAAAACTGTGGGAAAGGATGTTTACTAGATGGGAAAACTGGCTCACTATATTGAGAAAAATAAAACCGAATCCCTACCCACTGCATAAACAAACGTTGGCTCCAAAAGGCTTAAAGATCTATTTTCAAAACAATCATGAAGTTAATAGAAAATATATAAATCACTGTGACCTCTGTGTGGGGAAGGACTTCTTCAAATGCAAAAGCACAAACCAAGAGATGAAACAACATTTGCTTGACATTGTTGAGGTTGCCCTTTCTGCCCCTGTTGCTGCCATGGAGTACAGAGCCTCCCGGGTCACCTGCTCAGACAGTTTTGTCTGGGCGAACTCAGTAACTCTTCAGAGTGGTCCCCTCTGCTGACAGGGAAATTCACTCCCAGAGACTCAGGTACCCCTTACCAACCTCTCTCCTCTGAGACTGTGCAAATGGGATCTCATGTTTGTCACTTCCAGAAAACCTGTCAACACTACCCCTTCCCAGCTACCCACGCTTGGGGAAACGCTTAGTTCCAAGCTCAGCCTCTAACCAATCCTGCTTTGGACTTACTTAAATCAATCCTCCATGCTGTGCCTCAAGTGCAAAAACTCGTTACTTTTCATTGGGAGAAAAATAGTAAGAACCCCCAACACACAGTACATTAACCACATATAATACAATGAGTAATTGGGAGGGGGACCCCTGATGTAACATTTCCTCCTGCCCTCCATCATAGCAATGGGTTTTGAAAACTTAGAGAAGTCTTTACTCCATCCAGGCCCCCATTTATTTATTCAGGGTGCCATTCTGATTTCACTTTTTATCCTAAGGGCCTTTAGAATTACTCTAAGGTTTGGAAATGAATACTGGGGTGTTTAATGTCTGGCACTCACAAGTTGCAGGGGCACATATATTACGTCGTTGGACAAGGAGAACCCAATGCCTGCCTCAAGCATTCCACAAGCCCCAGTGGTGGCTGACTAATAAAGAGACAAATGTGGCAGGAAGCGGTAAGTCCAAGGAGAAATGTGCAAGTGTGATGTCGTGGGATGCCACCTTCTTCCTTGAGCATGACAATTATTACGAGGCTGAGCTTTCCTTGGACAATGCTGATGTTCCATGTTTTGAAGCTAATCATACTTTTAGTTTAAAATCCTATTTTAACTATTAGAACTATTAGAGCTCACAAAAGTAATTAGCACTACTAATCAGTTTTGAACATCCTCCAAAAAAAAGTGATTGTAATCAACCCAATGTAGAAGTTACCAAAAAAAAGTGCCCAAATAATAAAAAGACATAACTTCCACCAAACTAGGCACCATCTTTAATTCTGTATGAATTAGGAAGCTTTTGATTGCAAGCAATAGCAAGTTTGACTCAGACTGGCTTTAAAAATAAGGAAGTGTGCTAATTCATATAATAGGAACTCCAAAGATATGGCAGGCTCAATAATATCATCAACCACCCAGATTTTTTCTGCCTCTCATCACTGCTGCCCACAGGATTCGTCTGAAGCCTGGTTCCCCTTGCGTTTCTAATATGGCTGCCCATAGCAATTCTGGCTACATTATTTTGTTCATATCCACTAGATGAGAGAGCAAGTAAAAATCCTGATGGACCAACTTAGTTCATATGCACCCCCCCCACCCCGGTTCAGTACCTGTCACCAAAGGGATTGCCATGTGCTGTTTGGCTCAAAACCTTGGTTCCCGAACCAAACTCTGCCAAAGTGGGGAGAAGAAATTACTGAAACAGGTTAAGGCTAATCAGAGCACATTCCTTGAGCAGGCATAAAGGGGATAGAGTCATTTTCTCTTGAATCCCCTGGGCTGCATGTGAGGGTATTGGATACCTCAAGAATGTTGGGATTCTGTTAGGAAGGAGGGGCAGGGGAATGGATGTGGATTTGGCAACCCAAAGTGACAACTTCAAGGCCTGATCTACAGTAAAAAGGAAGGGCTGCCGGATGCAGTGCGGGCCAATGAGGGCTGGTGAAAGCACCAGAAGGGATGCCTGCAGGGGGATCGCAGACAAATCCCCCACATCATGTGCCATGAGGGAGAGTTCAACATCCCTTCTAAGAAATGATGGGAACAGGGGTGCCTGAGTGATCCAGTCAGTTGTGTGTCTGATTCTTAGTTTCGGCTCAGGTCATGATCTCAGGTTGTGAGATCAAGCCTTGTGTGGGGCTTCTCGGTCAGTGCAGTCTACTTGAGATTCTCTCCCTCTCCCTCTGCCCCTCCCCCCATGTGCATGCTCTCTCTCTCTCTGTCTAAAATAAATAAATCTTAAAAAAAAAAAAAGGAAAGAAACTATGGGAACAGGATGCTTAGGCTGGCTGCAGGAGTTTCCAGGTGGCACTGAGAAGTAGCAGGAGAGGTGGGGTTAAATGAAGAAACACATACTCTTGCCATATTTGCAGGAAGCAGTCAGTGAAGTAGGGAGGGTAGGGAAAAATACCTCTGAATTGTGAATAGCCCCCACAGTTGTTTATCGCTGCTGACTGGGGAGTAGAAAGGGCTAAAGTATCACACACACACAGACACACACAGTTTTGTGTTA